AGTAACCGAATATTCGTTGCAAGTCTAATGTAAATACATAACTAACAAAATATTACGGTGTAGGTAATATTTTTAAGTTACGATACCGTTTTTTTATATCAATTATGCTGCAAGTAAAACAGCAAAGTAGACCAGTCAGCCTTCCACCCCAAGTAAGATAAAACCTAAATTCTACCTATCTTCTGCGCCACAGACAATGTATGTGTTATTCTGTATGCATTTTACTTTACGTAACGTTATCTATTAGTCATATAATGTTAATTATTCGACTCATGTTTTATTATAGCAGTAATATAATTAATTGTAGTGTATTAATGTAATTACCTAAGTAGAAAGTTCAGTTACACATTTAGGAATACTAATAACGTGAGTGGTACATTATTTTTGTTCTTGTTAGCTAATCTGTACCAAATAACTTAAACGCTCGTGATATAAGGTACATGGTGCTACATAGAGAGCGTACTCGCTTAAAGTAATAGCCCAATCAAGGGCTTGGTCGTGCTTTCTTACAGTACGCAATCACACACTCACAAGTCCAGCACAGACATAAGGTTATATTTGTCTATATGTATAGACCCCGGTATTTTCCCAGGACTATACAAATAGACATAAAATTCAGTTCATTCCTATTTTCATAGTAAAGTACTACTACTAAGACTAGCATTTTACAGATTCAATTTTCGGTTACAATACGATACTCGTATATGTAATCAAATTGCAGTCAACGTTGGATGATTAATATTTTACTACGAAAATATCTTTTATGAGGGCTGTGAGATCGAGAAATTGTGACTGAACTTTTATTACGAGAATTGGCCTTCTGTTCAGGTATACTCGTATTTATGTATGCTGAAAGGGGTTGTCTTTATATTGTCAAGGTGGTTTTTTGTTTATGTATTTTATTAAATTTTTCTATAATTTTTGTTTTGGTTTATTATTTTGCTGAACATTAGCATGGATGGCATTGTGGTTTAAGCGGTCGCCACGCCGCTTCCTACTACGCCGAGTGTTGTGGGTTCAAACCCCACATGGGACGACACTTTGTGTGATCCACAAATTGTTGTTCTGAGTCTGGGTGTTCTTTGTGTCCGTTTAATGTATGTTTGTAAAGTCCCCCGCGACACAGGATTTATTCCTAATGCGGGAGTTGTCTTTTATTAAATGAGAAATGAAATTAGTAGTCAGTAACAAATAAAGTCTTTTGTACGTAGTGTTAACCGGCCACTCGTGTGGTAGCTTCAGTTTTCTCTTTATTATGTTAATACATAGACCTGAACACATCAGGGCCGCTCTACTGAGACACTTGTGGTGTTAAGAATCTCACTCTTTTCTTTTAAAAGAGGTATACGAGTTCATAAAGGTTTCATACAAGTTATTGTATGTGTGTATCTTTCATCATTTTAAATTATTTCAGCCATAGGCCGTCCACTGGTGGACATAGGCCTTCCTCATAATGATGATAATTATACCGGATGTAAGTGGCCTGCATCCACCGTCTTTCTGTTAACCCTACTGTTCTCTTTTTCATCTTTTTTTTTTGAAAGACCACTCCCGCACAAGAACACTCAGGACAACAATTTGTGGATCGCACAAAGTGTTTAAACTACTATGCCATCCGTGCAGTCAGCACTACTACTGAAGTAGCAAACTATTTATAAAAACGGTCATTTATTTAGTTCAGCAGATTAGATTCAAAATTACTCCTGAGTTGTGCAACCCTTGAATACCTAACACGAAATTTTTTATTCCAAGTTCTTTTTCGGTATCAAAATACTAAGCGTAATAGCAAAGCCAGTTAATATTTTATTATTGTTTTTTTCTCTCTATTTCTCACGAAATATAGATATTTTGTTTAGTAAATTCCTTATTTCGCAGGGATTAATCGAAAAACAAGTTACATAATTATTCAAATAAATTATTACTTAATGTAAAGCTGTTTGACTGATAGAGTGAGTAATGATAAGGACAGAAGATGATATGAGTTGAAAGAAGACGCTTGACAAACATTCAGACAGGGATGTTACGATAGCTTGGGTATATTGAAAGGATGAGCAAAAAGCGAAAGACTACAGGTTTCTGCGAGTGATCCCATAAAATATAGAATATAGATCCCATAAAACGTATGTTGAGTTGAGTTTCAAATAATAACTAATGGACTGAACTAAATAAATACGAAATATGATGCAATTGTTAATTATTAAAAGCAATCCTTAGTCAGGGAACGAAAAAAATTCAAGGTAGATTCTGTACCGGCAGAACGCAATACAATTAACGTTATTTAAATAAATGCAAATTACAGTTATATATGTACTTGTAGAGAATTGCTTACAAAAAAGTTATTATTATTTTTAATAATCTTTAATCACTAATTTCGTTTCTGATTTTTCATTATTTTATGATTATAATTTGTTTACGCTAAGTAGCTTTAGTTCGAGTTTGGTGAAAGCCAAGAAAATTCACATGAATTCAATTTATAAATAGTTTAAAGTTCATAATAGATCCCGACATTATTTGTACCTAGTCCCGGAAATTGCGTTGTCACGACCGGTAAGTACGTCATAAGAAGAAATCCCGAGAAAAGCTAGTCCCAGCCCTTTCGGGGATACTTTCGTATAGCAAGGCTTTTGTATTTAATAAATAATATATAATAATATATTAATAATATTTTCACACATTTCACACACGGCCGTCTGATCCCAAACTAGGCAGAGCCTGTACTATGGTAACCAGACTGCTGATAGACATACACATATATTTCTAAATACATACATATTATAGATATAGTACACCCAGACACAGAACAAATGACCGCGCTCATCACACAATTATTTGTCCTGGGTGGGAATCGAACCCACGACCTCTGGCGTAGCAGTCATAGTCACTAACCACTAGACCAACAGGCCAGCCATGAATACTAACTTTACCTAATAAAAAAAATAATGGAGAGTACTCCGTGGAATCGTTTGGAATAATACCGGCCGCAATTTTTCATCCCCATTACTTGGATAATTTACACTTCACCACTGTGCTGTGTTTTCACTTTTTCAACCAATCTGTGGATCAAGTTATCGTCTGCGGTATTTACGAACCGATACGACCTTCAAGAAAAGAGCGTAACCCTTGCGAAAAGGCTGGCCACGTATTTGTGACTCCTGAGTTGCAGACGTTCATGGGCAGCGGTAGTCACTTTCCATCAGGTGACCCGTCAGCTCATTTGCCCGATCTTCTTAATAACTTAAAGAGTTAACTTTCTTAAAAGTATAACAGTCTTCAATCATTTGAAATAAGTTACATTCTTCATTTCTAAATTTTCAATCCTTATCAGTTTAAATCAAAGATAAATATTTCAGGGATGTAAAGTTACCCTCAAATTCAAGTGAGACTATCCTTGAGTAGAACTAATTTTAATACAGGAAGTAAAATTGATAGTGGTTTACAAACCGCAAAGGTATCGAGTAACAGAGGTACATCAAGTCTATAATAGTCCACTGCTGGAAATAGGCCTCTTCTTAGAAAGGAGGTTTTGGCCTAACAGTAACATAGGTACAAGCAAGGAAATTATTGAGACCTAATGACTCTATCTTGGTGGTAGGGTCGTTAATAGTTTTGGAGTTTTTAAATTTCATTCACTCTCAAACGCGAGAAACATCCAGATATGTTCCAACAATCTGAACTGTTGTACGGCTACGTGATTTACACATTACTATTATACCAGACCCAATAACCGATCCAATAACTCCCCCACAGTAGAGTAGATGCTTGTTTCAAGAATAAGAATAAGATGGAGGTGTATCTGATGAGTTTCAAACTCGCAAGTTTTAAAAAACAGAGTCCGACTCGTCAGTCAAGGCGCTATTGAAACTACGCTTATTTGCGGTGGTACGTGAGGCTTTAAAAATAACTTAATACCTAGTCAATGTAGAGTTTAACCATGAGTTTAAATCCTAACCAAATCCAAACTAGATATATTCATTAAAAGATGAACCGAGCACTCTATTATTCTTTTTCGCGAAGTTTGTGTCGATAACTTAACTGTTTATCAATATTTTTGTATTACCTGTCTGGCCTGCGTGGTATACCTAGTAGGTCGAAACCTCCTTTCTGAGAAGATGTCTATGTCCAGCGGTAGACTTTTAAAGGCTCTTGTTGATGATGATGATGATATTCTATTTGTTTTGAAATAGAAATGACTAAAAATAACATTATTATAATTAGTATAGCACATTTTCTAATCTATTTTTGTGTATAAAAACCACAACGGCCCTCTTTTCTAACGGTAAAGGTTCAGAAACAGTTATAACTGGACAGCTCAATAAAAAATTAAATTGAATATAAAAAGACTAATTAAAATATAGTGGAGTGCGCCAAAACTTACATATTTCAAACATTATTTTAATACGCAAAACAATACTAGGAAATAGGAAATAGATATACTGTTTTTTTTTCAGGCTTATATAATAATTATATACATAGATACCTTATCCATAATTTATTCAAAAACTTAAGGTCTCACAAACGTAACTATGTAAATATTAGAATATTTAAAAATATCTTATTTGACGGACTTTACAGAAATTAAAGATATTTAAACTGGCTTTTAAATGGTTTGCAGTATTGTACTTAAACTTATTATTAACTGTATCTTCAAAAGATTATAAACAAGATTCATGTAATAAGTAATTCCGTTTTTGTAATAACTGCTCCGCTGTTTTATGAGTCCTAACAGTATAAATAAAAAATAAATGAACAATTTAATACATACGTCAAAACAGCGCGATACAAACTTTAAGATCAAACACATAATAATATCTCAGTTAAAAACACGTAAATCATAGCAAAAGCCTTCCATCATCGATCGATAAATAAACTAGAGACCAATAAAAGTGTAATAAAATTATTGAAACGTTTTGAAAAAGGCAATAAAATCAAAACTGGGTATTTATCCTTCGCATATATCACTGGGGTCGTCGACCGGCGGATTTGCATGGCGGTGGTCGGACCTGTGCACACGCAGGCGAGAAGCGCGATGAGCGCGAACAGCGCAGAGGCCATGCTGTGGCGGCGAGCGGTCACGGCGGCGCACGACAATGCACTGACCGGTCGGAGCTGCGCCGGCGCAACAGAACCGTACATGTCACACAACCTTACGAATGGCTTGGGTTCCCCAATGACATAAGAATGACTAGAGAAGTCATGAAAAACATGTGACGATGAAAAAAGGGGAGCTTTTGGCCGAACACAGCTTACTGAACATTAATACTGAAAGTAGGATATAGAAAAGTGACATGACTTTTACAAAAAATTACGTAAAAATAATAAGTTGTAATTAATGAAAGATTTGAGAATTCTGCAGAGTACTCGATATGTCAAAAAAAAACACACAAGGGCAAACAAACTCACGGCCACTCTTTGTAACACATTTAATTAACAAATAGATACAATGGCATTACTAAATATACCACAACATCGTTTTGATGTGTGCCAGTATGTCAGTTATTAAGGACTAAATATAAATAACACACAATGAGATAGGTTATAAATTCAGTGTAGCAGTGGTATTACTGTACGGTAAAACGACATCTGTGACGCTGTCGATACGAGATAGCTCTGACATCTTCTTGTAACACTTGTCTTTGAGAATAGATAGAGAGTAACTCTGTCTGTCTGCGACTGTTCACGACTAAACCGCAGAGGCGATATTAATAAAATTGGCATAGAGGTATTTTGATTCTTGAGAATTTTATATAATTTCATTCATATTTTTCGACCACTGAGTTAGATGTCAAGACCACTGACCACTCTCTCCGAGGTCGTGAACTGGTTCAACGTTAATAACTAACTTTTAAACGAGAAAACAACTAAATGTATTGTTTTTTTTACACCTAATATTAAGCAGGTAAAAACCATTGTTCTGATAAATGGAAAGGAGTTTGATCTTGTAGACATCACTACGTTCTTGGGTATAACTCTAGACTCTAACTTGCAGTGGGGCAATTAGCAGACGCGGTTTATAAAATTCGTCAATTAACCGATGTAGAAACAGCTAGACTGGTGTATTTAAGCTATTTTAATAGTATAATGTCATACGGTATTTTATTGTGGGGGAAATGCTGCTGACATTCAAAGTATTTTTGTGTTGCAAATGAGATTTATAATCTCACTAATAGGCAGTCAGTAAAGGATATGTTTTTAAGAAATTAGTATTATGACAGTCGTATCTCAATATATATATGAAAACTTAGTTTATGTTCAGAAAAATATTCATTAATTCACAAAGTTTAGCGACCTTCATAATACAAACACTAGAAATAAAGATAAAATCGTGTTGCCAACGACTAGACTACAAAAAGTAAGCAAGTCCTTTCGATGTCAGGGTGTTGCGATTCGAAGGTAAAATTCCAAGCAAATTTCATGAATTAAGTATTAACAAATTTAAGTCCTTAGTAAAACAAAAACTATGTGAAAATGCTTACTGCACGGTTACAGATAATTTAGATGACAAATTTGATTGGGATTGATGCTGCTCATTCCCACATTTGAAAGTAATTAACATTTATTTTTTTGTTATAATTCGTATTTCCTTTATTTTCAATTTGTTTATTTTAAATTTAATTGTATAGTATATTTTGTTTGTGTAAGTTTGTAAATATCCGTATAGTGTAGGTTTGTAATGGTAATTAATATTTTAGTAACTTTCTGGTGGTTTTGAGTGTTTCCACGGCCTAGTCGAGTATCCTGTTGGCAGTAGGTCGTATTCCGAGTTGTTGATCCTGACTATGTCGGTTAGGCTACACGATGGCTGGGGCTCGTATGCTGTCTATATTCAATGGTCTTTCTTCAAAAGGTCTATGGTCCTTTCTTCAAAAGGCCAACCCAGACCCTATACTGGACTCACATAGTTCTATTTAACATTGTACGCGAACTTGAAAAAGAAGTCACCTCTGTGGTTTGTTTCTGCATTTCTTCCCAGAGTGAGTCTTAGGAAATGCCGAGGCCTTCTAGCTGTAAAGTCTGAATTGTAAAAATATCTGAAAAGATTTACTTGCAGAAATAAATATAATTTCATGATCACTAGGTCAACAGCCCAGTCAAACTAAAATATAAACATCAGTAAGCACTATTGGTGCTATACAAATGTTTGTTCTGTATATGAACTTTTGCCGTACTTGACTTACCATGGTCCTTAACACAGTGTGACTATAATATAGTCTAGTTTGGTCTATAGTGATGTTGATGACATATAATACTATATTACAGTATTCTACGTCATCAACCTCATTCAGCAACATCAGCATCAAAGACAAAAGCAAATTCTGCAATTGTGTGAAACCTGTCTAAATATTTGTTGGTCTGTGCGACGCCCAAATCGCCGCCCGCCGCAGGGTGCGCAGTGATTAACATGGCATCCTTGTGTTTTATGCTGTGCAATTTATTATTTCAAAGCATTTGAACTATGTCAGTATTTTACACTGTTTGTTTTCTTTGCGTTATGAGTACCATAGCTGCAATCCTTTACTTGGATGTAATTGTTTCCCGATGAGACCAAGGAATAAGGGAAGGAAGAGAAAGCTAGGTTAAGTGATACCACAAGTTTCGGATGGGAAAGAAGATTGAGACCGCAGTAGCTCGTTTAGACCTGGGTCTCTTACCCGAACTTCTAGGTCACGAAATATCAGAATTTGAGAAGATACTACGAGTACAACAGGGACATATCTTGTGTTAATAAAATTAGTAATTGATAGATAGTACCGGTAGTAGTAGGTTAAGTTATCGTAGTTGTAGTTACCGTAGTTGTATACAGTTATCTTTTTTTTTATGGTATAGTAGGCGAATAAGCGGACGGTTCATATCATGGTAAGGGATTACTGCTACCCATAGACACCGCAAGAGTTGAAAGTGCGTTGCCGCCTGTACAAGTACTTAATTGTACGCGAGTTTTGTATTATGTAAATTTCATTATCGTCACTAGATGGCGCTGTTCAATTTGTATACAATTTTACATCGCGGTATAAGGATTTTCCTAATGTTTATTATAATCCTGCTATTGTGTTACTTTAGAAATATTTGGTTAACCCTTACTTTGTTTACGCTCAAATCCCTAAACAAAGTTGAATCCCCCTCCCCTTTGGAAATAGCTTAGGTCTATTTCATAAGGCGTAAAGTAGTAAAAAATAGTAAAGAGAACATTTTAATAACTATGTTATATGTTGAGGAACACATCAAGTATGTAAATAATTACCGTAGCTATAAACGTTTTTGAGCAGTAAGGGTTCGGTGTCCTTATGGGGAACCTCATGAGAAAACCTTGGCGAGGAAGTCACTTCTTAATTACGGATGTCTAAAAACCTGTAAAAACAATTAATTAATTACATGAGCACAGTTTTCCATTAGACTAAAGGAGCCGCTCTCATAGCGCATGCCATTAGCAATCTAATCCACGATATCCTCTTTGTTAATTACTGACAACACATGGCAAGCGGATACCGCCAATCATGAGGACCACTTGGAGTGACCTGAAAATAATTAGAGCTCTAGTATGTTTATTTAGCAAAATAATTTGACCTAAATCTTCTTTACGTACAAAATTCCATTGAACATATGTTTTTAATTGACACCTGTCATTTAAATTTGCTTTCTTTGTTTACCGTGGTATCGGTTGTAACTTTGACTAGACGGGTGGGGTAGTGGTTTAAGCGGTCACCTCGGCATCTTCCTAATGCCCTAAGTGTTGTGGGTTAATTAATCCCCACATAGGACACCACTTTGTGTGATCCACAAATTGTTGTTCTGAGTCCGGGTGTTTTTTGTGTCCTTTTCATGAAATGTTTGTAAGTTTGTAAAATCTCGTCTCTGTACACAGGATATATTATGCCTAGTTCGGGCATTGTCTATTCAAAAACAAGAAACAAGAACCTTTAGGAAATATGTCCAGTGTACCTCACACACTCGGTCCGCTTTTATTAAAAACCACTAATGATAGTCGTTAAAATCCATAGTTTTCGTTGATAGCTAAAAAAAAAAAGAAGTTGAGTTATGTGACTAATTCATCCACAATAATGGTCCACATAAGGGGGAGAGTATGGGAGAGTCGACAGCATGCGGATATATAGATTCAATTTACTGTCAGCGAAGTGACCACCGCCCTGTAAGCACCCTCCAGCCACCGGGTGGTGGTGGCTAGAGGTGGCTCGGGCGGTGGTCACTTCGCTGACAGTAAATTTAATCTATATATCAGCATGCTGTCGACTCTTCCTGAGATTGTGGAATCAACACGATGTCTAGTCATAGCTTGGCTAATGCTGGTGAAATTTATTTTGTCAAAGGCACCTTCGATATCGATAAAGGTGCTGGTGAAGTGTTGATCTTTTGTGTTTTAGATTGCCTTCTATATGTGATACTACTGGATTTAAAACTGATTCTGTTGATTTGCCCATCGAGTATGCAAAGTTGGTTGTGGTGTAGTGGGTGACTGACTAACGCTTAAATTAACGATCACCAAAATTATTAATATTTACATCACAGAGCTCCTGCTGCCCCACAGTTCGGTCCCAAACAGGGACACACATGTTAACGAACCGAACGAACCCAAGACCGAATGGCGTAGTGGTTTGTGAAACGGACTGCTATTCCAAAGGTCGCGGGTTCGATTCCCGCTCAAGCCAAACATTTGTGTGCATGAACATGTAATGTTTGACTAACTTTTAAACTTTCGCGTTCCATGATAATTAATATTATTGTAATACATATATGTAATACATATGTAATACCCTAAATAAGAGATCGCGTTAATTCCCGTTAAATAATATTAATTATGTAATGTTTGATTTGGTCTGGGTGTTTCTATGTATAATAAGTATGTATTTACAAAAACAAACAGTAGCCGTAGTACAAGCTTTGCTTAGTTTGGGACAAGATGGCGTTTTGTGAATGTGGTAGAATATTATTATTATAATTATAATTATACTTTGTAATTTTAAGTCCTTGTTGTTGTTCTTCGCTCACTGCGCTGAGTCCATATGTTAATTTTTATTTCAACTATTCACGGTTGTATTCAACTACTCACACTTATAGTTAAATATGAAGAAATCCTTGAGTAAATTAGTAATAGTACGTGGTCATCATTAACGGCATTT